GGGAGAAATTCAAATCAAATGGCATGCTGTACTGATGAAGTGTAGGTAAGAAATAAGCCTCCTGTTTCTTTTTTGATACAAGTCTAGTTTGAACGTTTCACACTGCCTGGCAGTCCCAGAGGCTGATTTTTTGTGTTCCAGAACTCAAGATTGTCACACGTTCAATCCTTCACCATTGACCAGGCTGGCTGAGGATGACAGAAGTTCCCTGCTTCTAGAAAAATAGGATTTGGCATTAAATCAAGTTGCTACTTTGAGCACTGATGATCTTTGCAGGCAAAAAAGAATGGTGTTTTTTTCCTTCCAGCCTTTACAAAAGGAGCATTTTGGGGTCAGTACTTTTCACTTTGTTCATTCAGGCAGAAGGATTAAAGTATTTACTTACTAACGAGAAGCACTCAACACTGTTAGACACAGTTGGGCTGTTAGTTGTAGGAGTACAACTTTCACTTCAGTGTGCTTCTAACCCTCAACTTAAGTAGAGTGAATTTTCATGTCTCCTTTTATTTATGGTGAGTAAAGAGAAAGAAGAGAGAACAGGTGTTAAGAGTCTTACTACATGGTATCCTGAGCATAACCAGCATTTTGTAACTGTAAAGCTGATAGGCTGGAGTTTGATTTCTCTCATGTGATGGCAGGATATATAGCAGGTGGCAGCATCTAGCCTACCTAAGCTGGTCTCAAAAAGCTAAGCATGGTTATTCCTGATTGGTATCTGGATGGGAGTCTACTAGGAGATCCCAGGGCTGTAGTCTAGACTGGGATGTAAAAAAATCTGGAAGAAGACAACAGATTATTCCACAGTTTATTGAGCACAGAACCAAAGTAATGGGGAGGCTCTTCCTCTTACACTCCAGAAAGAATTTTATAGCAAGAAGCATTTAAACAGAGATCAGAGGTAATGGGAACCAATGTGTTTAGCAAACTATTGACAGTAGAGAAGTGAAAGTGACAGGTAATTTTTATTTTCTTGGGCTCAAGACTAGATAAAGATGAGCAGTATGCTGGAAAAGTGAAGAGGAGTTTAATCCTAGGGAGGAAGACAATGATGGACAAGATCATGAAGGATATGGATATTTCTATTATAACAAAGATCAGAATAGTAAAAGGAATGGTTTGTGCCTTCAGATTATGGATGTGGAGATTCTGACTAAGAATACCATGGCCTGCAAGATGAACCAATTGATCCTTGACTAAGTAAAAAAATACTTGGTTGCTTGTGGTGATGATCAGCAAGCAGAAATTAATATAATTAGAGCGTATGACATAAGGAGATGATGGACTAGGAAAAAATGTCTATGCTTGACAAGGTTGAGGGAAGAAACAAAAGATGACAGATAGGAAAGAAGGGCAGGATTAAAGAAATTACCAGATTGTCCTTGGAAGAGCTACAAAGTATTATTGGTGGCAAGGTGGTGAGCATTTTGTCCACGCAGTCACCAGGAATCAAACTTGATTTGATTGCACCTAACTAAAGCTGACTTAACAAAGTAAGCCCTCAAATAAAGCCCCTCTCTCCATTTTAGCTCTCATGCCTCACATGACACAGCTTTCTCTTATTCATGTCTATGCCCTAGTAATCTAAGGGATAGTGATCCCCAGTAATCTGAGGATCACTATCCATTAGATTTCTTCTTTTGTCATTAACATTCTGAACATATGAAGCTGTTATATACATTCAGTTTAGTAGTACAAATGGACAAGTCTCAGGATATAGTGAAACTTTTATAAGTATTTATATACCTGCCATTAGAATAAAGCCCAACCAGGATTAAAAGTACACAGATACTTTTGCTAAATCACATTCTGAGGCTATAGATCACTGAAATATATTCTGCACTTTCTTCTCTGTGTTTTACCTCCTCTTCTAGGTGTGTTAGTATGTGTGTGTATGTGTGTGTATGTGTGTGTTCATATAGGTATGTACGTATGTGTGTGAATATATATATATATATATATATATATATATATATATATGATGG